GTAGTAGTAGTAGTAGTAGTAGTAGTAGTAGTAGTAGTAGTAGTAGTAGTAGTAGTAGTAGTAGTAGTAGTAGTAGTAGTAGTAGTTGTAGTAGTAGTAGTAGTAGTAGTAGTAGTAGTAGTAGTAGTAGTAGTAGTAGTAGTAGTAGTAGTAGTAGTAGTAGTAGTAGTAGTAGTAGTAGTAGTAGTAGTAGTAATAGTAGTTCTTCTCATCCCTCTTGACGTTACAACCCGCCGAGATCAGCACCTTTCATGTACCCGATCCGATCCACGACTTTTCCAACGTTAAAAGGTTACCACGGCGATCCCCCTCTCCTCCTCTCTCCTCCTCCTCCTCCTCCTCTTCATCCCTCCTCCCCTGCTCTCTCCATCCCCCCGTCCTCCTCATTACCGCGAGCGCCTGAAATATAAGGGCGTTTGTGCGTGTACGTTTGGATGTATAGCTCTGTCATGATGAGGCTATTAGAGAAAACATCTGTCGGCCGTGCGCGCGCCCCGAACCCCGCGGGACCGGCGCACACGGAGCCGAGCTGTCCCACACCAGGCTTATCTAATGACTCACCTTGTAACCGTGTGATGGATGCGCACGCAAAGATGTGCAAGAGCGCCTAAAGAGTCATCGCTGTAGCTGTTAGGAAGTAGGTTCGGGTAATACGGTAACGCTTTGTAATAACTGCGCTATAATGAGACTAATTAAAGGTGGATTGCGTAACCGTTCTGGTGGAGGGTCTGTCGAATGTTTTTTTGAGATGTTATGGCTTTGTCCGGAATGTTCCACAGTATTGTATTTGACCTTTCTAACTTCACGGACACCGAGTTACAGGTCAGACCTCTGGAGACGCAACCCCGCTCACTGTCAGGATGCCTGTTTTTTTAGGTATTTTGAGCTCAAAACAAAACAAACAAAAAACAAAGACATCTGTAACTGAATAAATGTAAGGTAGGGCAGTTTAATGTCATACTGTGGAACATTCCGGACTTAGCAACAGCAAACGGAAAAGGCTGCAGCGGGCTACAATATCCAGCTCCCAACTATAGATGGGCATTCGTTTAAAGCAGGGGTGCTCACACTTTTTCAGCATGCGAGCTACTTACAAAATGACCAAATCAAAATGATCTACCGAATACAAAGCCAAGCAAACTGCACTGAAACACTCTGTGCCCCTTTTTTGGACCCTCACCCACAGTTTGAGAACCCCTTCTTTAATGTGCTTCTCTCATTAAATAAGCTTTGAAACAACCACTTACCATCCACCCGCCCGCCGGCGGGCGATTTTCCAATAAAAAATGTTCACTCTGTATATTCACCTTCATTATTGTTTTCACTACTGGCATGCCATACATCGTTTGAAAGCTTAATTTATCAATAAAACAACCATATCATTCATTTTATGCCGTACAACGAGCCCAAAACGCTACAACTTAAAAATTCACATCATAAACAAAGAAAAATACGCGTTTCTTACCTTTGAGCCGGTTCTGTCGGTCCAAAACGCGTTCAATCCATGAAAAGTTGTACTCAATAAGTCCGTAATAATCCACAGAAAAAGAATATCAAGTTGTTTTTTCCATAAAATAATTCCATGTGGGGAAATAATCCAGAAAATCGTCGTCCGTATGAGTGAATGAATCCGTGAATGAAAATATTATGTCTCTTCTCCGCCTCTTCTCCCGCTCTCACTTCCCTTTCTCTCCCGCTCTTGGGTACGCTTGTTTTCCTCACACTCTTAGCTTCAAAATGAGACCCTCCCCGCTGTTGTCGGTGGCGGGGTTTAGGTGGGACAAGCCGCTGAAGAAGCTAACGCACTCACGTACTTCCTGGCTTTACGCACGCGTCATCAGTTTGTTTACGGGAAATCTCTTCAGTCATTGGATCTTCCAGAAAGTGATTGACATATTGTTTTAGCCTATCACCAGAGCTTTCAAACGGTGGGTGGGACATTCAGATTGTATTGGAAACGGACCCTGTGTTTATACGCGCAGCCGAGAGGGACATGAGAGAGACACAGAGAGCAGTAGTAGTAGTAGCAGAAACAGCCACTTGGAAGACAATTTTTGGCTACTTTTAGTTTTTTTTCTTGAGAAAACAGGCCTAAAGCTCAGAAGAATTAGTATTATAATAATAAACAATTATTTATTATTATTATTATTATTATTATTTTGGCACAAATTTGGCAATCTTGTGCCAAATTGTCATTTTGTTTACACAAAGGCTCACAGCATCAAAACCCTTTGTCCTAGAGATCTGAAATTCTACACAGTTGTTGCCAACAACTTGAACAAGTTGTAGTGAGTCACAAATGCCTAGCATGAAGTATGACCAAGCTAAGGCCTTTATTTTTTTCAATAGTTTTTTCGAAGCAAAAAAATGCAATTTTTAATTGACTGTAGGTTAGGCAGCACTCACAGTCTTCATGTACATATCTACAGAAACTAGAAGGCCTAAGCTTTAAAATGGTGTCTCACACAAGCATGTGGGTTCTAAGGTTTTCTTTTAATAAGCTATGGCATTTGGGTATGTCTTAACATTGTGCACACACCAAAATGAGGCGGGTGGCAACAGGTTAAATAGCAAATACCTTGATGAAAGTGACGTGAGTGTGTCATGATGGTACCATAGGAAATCTCTTTGCAGTTTATGTTCTCTAGCCATAATTCCCGTTTTTTTCCGATAATTCAATTGTTTGAGCTCCTGATGAGTCATTTCCAGAGGAACAGTGAAGAAACAAATCGTTTTATCCCTTTCAGAGCGTCTAGAACAACCAAATACACAACAAAACCTGCCCATGTTTCTCCGATGCTACTGAAGTCAATGGCATAGCCCGGTGTCATGGCGGCGTAGGTACCGTTGCTATAGGGGTCACGTGACGGTGCAAAGCCTCTATAGTGATCTCCAAGGAGCCAGAACCCAAACGTGGGACTGTGAGGCCACAACTCCAGTGTTTGTGTCGGACGCAGCCTCGTCTCCTCACGCTACGCACAGCAACATACATTCAGCTTGTCGATTAAAAATGAATGCGATCGATGAAATTCTTAATGCTCAATTATCAATTAGTCAACTAATCATGCCCATCCCTACTCCCAACAATAGACTGTATGAATATAAAGCCTCGTTCCAAAAAGGATGTGTTCTTGGAGGTGCTTCTAGCTTCTTTGACTCTGTGATGTAAACTGAGGAGTTGCCACTTCTCTCTCTGTAACCGCTGCAGTGAGCCTTGTCATTTTGTTCATAAATGTTCGTATAAACACGCTCTACATGATCCTCGTGTTTTATTTTGCATTTGGTCAGTTAATAAATTCCTGTTCCTAAAATAAAACTCGGCTTCCAGTTTTCTCCTGTAACTGCAGACCTCATGAGCTTCATTTGACTGGTGCCGAACGCTATGGGTGACATGACACTCTCTTAGTCTACGTTTTTATACACTCTATGATGAATTTAAGTATCTTGGTGTTACCTTGGACTCCACTTTAACTTTTAAAAAACATGTAAAAAACATATCAAGAATTGTTAATTTTAATATTCACAATTTTAGGCAAATTAGAGCATCATTGCCAGAAAATGCAGCTAAAATGTTTCTCCACAGCATGATTCTCTCTCATATTGAACACTGCGTTACTAACTGGTCACTGACAAACACGACAACCTTAAAAATAATAGAATCACTTTTTAAAAATGAGTTTAAGATATTTGATAGGAAATCTTTATCGTTTCATCTCATGAAATCATACTACAGAAGTATAATATCTTAAGTTTTGGAAATTTTCTAAAATTTAAACTCGCCTGCTCAGTCTACAAAGTCTTAAATGTTCTTGCTCCACCAGCTCTGGGTGAGTTCATTAAGCCCAGGTCCAGCACTAGTGGTCGGGGAACAAGAGCCTCTATCAGAGGCGACTGTGCAAAACCCTATAGACGAACAACTTTCAGTCAACAGGTGTGATCAGTCAAGGAACAGAAATCTGGAACAACATCCCAGCTGCTATAAGAGATTCCACCACATTCAGTTCATTTAAAACTAATCTGATGGCTTAAAGGTTGTATGGAGGATTTTTTTTTGTTTGTTTGTTTCAAATTGTCAATGAAAGATCAAAATAGAATTATAAAAAAGAAGCAGCCTTGTTATTATGATGACCAAAAAAAAAAAAGAATGAAAATCCATCAACTGAAGTTTGTAGTGTAGTGAAGCCAGATAAACATCAGCCAATAGATAACAAGGCTACCTCTTTATCTATTGGCTGTTAGGTTGTCAATCAAACTCCCTACATTTCTAGCATCGCTGACTTGCCGACACGCTGGGATTGTGTGGTTTATATTCGTGGTTCAAGTTTAGCGGTTCTTGGCGTCTTTTTTGAACTGTAGCTCTCAGTTTGCACAAATTTTGTTTTAATGGCAGACAAGAACTCATGACCGGTTCACCGCAAAAGAAAGTCAGTTTTTGACATTGCTGAAAGAAGAAGAGAAGGGGAAAAGGTGCGAAGCGCAACATTTAAAAAAGGACAAACAGTCGCTGCATTTCTCTTTCCTTGGAAAATCTTCTATACAACCTTTAAGAGAAACCAGATCTGTGATCACTAATGTTCTGCTCCTATGTAAATGTCAGTGTTGTGTGTCATGCTTGTGTGTTTGTCTATTGTGACGCGTTTTATGTTCTTTGTTTTATGTCTCTATCTCTCTGACCTGCCAGGGACGACAGATGAAAAGTCGCCTTTGGGCTAATTCTGGCGTATTTACAAGTATATGTTCATGAATATGCATTGTCCCTTTTAAATAAATAAAACTAAAAAAAAAAAAAAAAAAAAACTATACTTCCAGTGGAGTGAATCTAGAGTGCCACACCTCTGCTCGCACCACCAGACTCTCGCTGCTTTGGATAAAATGGAACCAAAAGCACTTTGTAATCAACAAACATGACAAACAATATAAATATGTTAAAGTATTTTTATAGTTCAGTTTTTATGTAAAGCAATAGGAGCACATGTTATATCTGGTGTTTGTATTTTCAGGGAGTTTGGTCGATGGAAGGTGAATAACTTGGCGGTGGAGCGCAGAGACTTCCTGTCCTCTCCTCTGCCCCTCACCCCAGAGTTCATCAGGAACATCCGCATGTTGGGACGAAGACCGACCATCCACAGCATCACCGACAACCTGATCAGGAAGTACGGCACGCACTTCCTCCTGTCCGCCACGCTCGGAGGTAAGACAACACACCGGGGGTGCGCGGTGGGGAATGTGGGGAGGACGGGACACGGGAAGGAAGTAGGGGACAAGTGTACGGTGTAAAAGTACAAACTTCCTCTTGTCTGAAATGGTCGGAGGTAGGAAATCCCTGTATTCATTCGTTCATTCGTTTTTCAATATAAAACCAAAAATAAGAAAATGAAAAAAATAACTGTTTTCTTCATTATTTGTGTCCAAAACCAAAATGAAAAAAAAAAGATTTTTTTTTTTTTTCAGTTTTTGATTTTGTGTTTAAATGAAAAATGGAAATAACGGGTAATGGCCATTTCCCATTTACGTGACTGTGATGCCGGACTTTTGCACTGCATACGGACTGAACCAGGACTGATCCAGGTCCGGGACCAGACTGGGAATGAGACCGAGACCAGACCGAGACTGGGACCAGACGGGGACCAGAGCGGGACTGAGACCTAGACCAGACCAGTACCGGACCGGGACCAGACTGAGACCAGACCAGGACTGAGACCAAGACCAGGCCGGGACTAGACGGAGACCAGAGCGGGACCAGATCGGGACCAGACCGGGACTGAAACCGAGACCAGGCCGGGACCAGACCAAGACCAGACCAGGACTGAGACCAAGACCAGGCCGGGACCAGACGGAGACCAGAGCGGGACCAGATCGGGACCAGACTGGGACTGAGACCGAGACCAGGCCGGGACCAGGCCGGGACCAGACCGGGACCAGACCAAGACCAGACCAAGACCAGACCGAGACTGAGATCAGAACTGAGACCGGGACCAAACCAAGACCGGGACCAGACCGGGACCAGACCGGAGGCTCAGAGCCTAATAATACAATTTTAAAAGGAAAAAGTTGCATTTTCATAATTTTTTCCATGTCTACAAAATATTGCAATAAATATCGTACTGTTTCAAGAAATTTGAATATCGTTACATCCCTAATTTGGAATACTTCAAATACGTTTACATCGAGTTGCATTTACATTATAGTGTAAAAAATATGCACTGGATTAAAAACAACTTTATGCTTGTTTCACTGTTTGTTATGCATTTCCTTTCACCAATTAGAGAAGGAAAAATGATATAACAGCCATTTCTATTTTTCTCACCATTACTGTGCAGTTTGAAGCTTAAATTGTGTGAACCGCAATGTTTCCCTTTGATTTTAGAAAAGTAACTGCACCACCAAACCACCAAATGAAAAAGTTGCCGTACCGAAATACAGTTACTCAGGTGTAGGAGGTGAGGAGGTAAGTCTAGGTGGTAGGAGACATGTATAGGACGCTAGAAAACTAGTGTAGGAGGTTTGGGGACAAGTGTAGGAAGTTCGTAGGCAAATATAGGAGACTAGGTACAAAGTGTAACAGGCTAGGAGTTTAAACTAAGAGGCTAGGAGGCAAGCGTAGGGGGTAGGGAACGAGTGTAGGTAGCTAGGAGAGTAGTGTAGGAGGATGCACTTCCACCTGTCTGCCTCACTCGGAATTAATACTTGAATGTAGGAGGCTAGGAGACAAGTGAAAGAGGCAAGGAGACAATTGGAGGTGTTTAGGAGAAGTGTGTGAGAATAGAAGACAAGTGTAGGGAATAGGGGACAAGTGTAGGAGGCAAGGAAACAAGTAGGATCACAAAGGGGACGTGTTTCCTCCTGTCATCTGGATGTACGGATTCAAGCGTAGAAATTATGTCACCTGAGAATGTGACTGTAGGAGGCTAGGAGACACATGAAGGAGGTAGGAAACAAGTAGGATCTCAAAAGGGACATGTTTCCTTCTGTCCTTTGAGGTAGGGGACGAATATAGATTCAAGCACAGAAATTATTTGAGGTGTGAATGTGAATATAGGAGGCAATATATAATATAGGACACAAGGAAACACATGTAGGAAATAGGAGACAACTGTACCAGACTAGGAAACAAGTAGGATCTCAAAGGGGACATGTTTCCTTCTGTTATTTGAGGTACGAGACAAATATGGATCCAAGCATAGAAACGATTTGAGCTGAGGATGTGAATGTAGGAGACTAGGAGACAAGGAGACAATTGTAGGGACTAGGAGACTAGTGTAGGAGACTAGGACACATGTAGGATCTCAAAGCGGACATGTTTCTTCCTGTCACCTGGATGTACGGATTCAAGTGTAGACATGAAGTGAGCTGAGAATGTGAGTCTAGGAGGGTAGGAGACAAGGAAACATGTGTAGGGACTAGGAGACTAGTGTAGGAGACTAGGAAACAAGCAGGATTGAGATCCTACTTGGGACATGTTTCCTCCTGTCATTAAAGTACTGGGCCAAAATGGATTCAAGCTCAGAATGTGACTGTAGGAGGCTAGGAGATATGTAAAGGAGATAGGAGACAAGCTTAGGAGACAAGGAAACAAGTAGAATATCAAAGGAGACGTGTTTCCTTCTGTTATTTGAAGTATATGGATTCAAGCACAGAAATTACGTGAGCTAAAAATATGACTGTAGAAGACTAGGAGACAAGGAGGCAAGTGTAGGAAATAGGGGACTAGTGTAGGAGACTAGGAAACAAGTAGGATCTCAAAGGGGACATGTTTCCTTCTGTTATTTGAGATATGGGACAAATATGGAGTCAAGCATAGAAATGATGTGAGCTGAGAATGTGACTATAGGAGACTAGGAGACAAGGAGACAAGTGTAGGGAATAGGAGACTAGTGTAGGAGACTAGGAAACAAGTCAGACTGAGATCATACTAGGGTTTTGTTTCCGCCTGTTTCCTCCTGTCATTTCCGGGACATAAGTATGGGACGAAAATGGATCCAAGCACAGAATGTGACTGTAGGAGACTAGGAGATGTGTGAAGGACATAGGATACAAGCTGGGGGGACAAGGAAACAAGTAGGATCTTAAAGGGGATGTGTTTCCTCCTGTCATCTGGATGTATGGACTCAACCATAGACGTTATGTCAGCTGAGAATGTGACTGTAGGAGACTAGGAGACACATGAAGGAGATAGGAGACAAGCATAGAAGGCTAGGAAACAAGCAGGATCTCAAAGGGGACATGTTTCCTTCTGTTATTTGTGGTATGGGACAAATGTATATTCAAGCATAGAAATTATTTGAGCTGAGAATGTGACTGTAGGAGTCTAGGAGATATCTGAAGGACATAGGAGACAAGGGTAGGAGACTAGGAAACAAGTAGGATATCAAAAGGGACATGTTTCCTCCTGTCATTTGAAGTATATGGATTCAAGCATAGAAATGATTTGAGGTGTGAATGTGACTGTAGGAGGCTTGGAGACAAGGAGACACGTGTAGGGAATAGGAGACTAGTGTAGGAGACTAGGAAACAAGTAGGATCTCAAAGGGGACATGCTTTCTCATGTCATCTGGATGTATGGACTTAAGCATAGAATTTATGTCAGCTGAGAATGTGACTGTAGGAGGCTAGGAGACACATGAAGGAGATAGGAGACAAGGGTAGGAGACTAGGAAACAAGTAGGATCTCAAAGGGGACATGTTTCCTTCTGTCATTTGAAGTATATGGATTCAAGCATAGAAATGATTTGAGGTGTGAATGTGACTGTAGGAGGCTTGGAGACAAGGAGACACGTGTAGGGAATAGGAGACTAGTGTAGGAGACTAGGAAACAAGTAGGATCTCAAAGGGGACATGCTTTCTCATGTCATATGGATGTATGGACTTAAGCATAGAATTTATGTCAGCTGAGAATGTGACTGTAGGAGGCTAGGAGACACATGAAGGAGGTAGGAAACAAGTAGGATCTCAAAAGGGACATGTTTCCTTCTGTCCTTTGAGGTAGGGGACGAATATAGATTCAAGCACAGAAATTATTTGAGGTGTGAATGTGAATATAGGAGGCAATATATAATATAGGACACAAGGAAACACATGTAGGAAATAGGAGACAACTGTACCAGACTAGGAAACAAAGTAGGATCTCAAAGGGGACATGTTTCCTTCTGTTATTTGAGGTACGAGACAAATATGGATCCAAGCATAGAAACGATTTGAGCTGAGGATGTGAATGTAGGAGACTAGGAGACAATTGTAGGACTAGGAGACTAGTGTAGGAGACTAGGACACATGTAGGATCTCAAAGCGGACATGTTTCTTCCTGTCACCTGGATGTACGGATTCAAGTGTAGACATGAAGTGAGCTGAGAATGTGAGTCTAGGAGGGTAGGAGACAAGGAAACATGTGTAGGGACTAGGAGACTAGTGTAGGAGACTAGGAAAAAGCAGGATTGAGATCCTACTTGGGCCGTGTTTCTCCTGTCATTTAAAGTACTGGGCCAAAATGGGTTCAAGCACAGAATATGACTGTAGAGACTAGGAGACAAGGAGACAAGTGTAGGAAATAGGAGACAAGGGTAGGAGACTAGGAAACAAGTAGGATCTCAAAGGGGACATGTTTCCTTCTGTTATTTGTGGTATGGGACAAATGTGTATTCAAGCATAGAAATTATTTTAGCTGAGAATGTGACTGTAGGAATCTAGGAGACATATGAAGGAGACAGGAAACAATTGTAGGAGCCTAGGAAACAAGTATGACCTCAAAAGGGACATGTTTCCTTCTGTTTTTTGAGATATGGGACAAATTTTGAGTCAAGCATGGAAATGATGTGAGCTGAGAATGTGACTATAGGAGGCTAGGAGACAAGGAGACTAGTGTAGGGAATAGGAGACTAGTGTAGGAGACTAGGAAACAAGTACGATTGAGATTCTACTTGGGACGTGTTTCCTCCTATTTCCTCCTGTCATTAAAGTATGTGACAAAAATGTATTAAAATATAGAATGTGACTGTAGGAGGCTAGGAGATATGTGAAGGACATAGGAGACAAGGGTAGGAGACAAGGAAACAAGTAGGATCTCAAAGGGGACACGTTTCCTTCTGTCCTTTGAGGTAAGGGGACGAAAATGGATTCAAGCATAGAAATGAGCTGAGAATGTCATTTTAGGAGACTAGGAGACAAGGAGACAAGTGTAGGGACTAGGAGACAAGTGTAGGGACTAGGAGACTAGTGTAGGAGACAAGTAAACAAGTGGGATCTCAAAGGGGACATGTTTCCTCCTGTCATTTGAAGTATACGGATTCAAGCGCAGAAATGATGTGAGCTGAAAATGTGGCCGTAGGAGGCTAGGAGACA